ACACACACACAGTCAGACACACACACACACACACACACAGACACACACACACACACACAGTCAGACACACACACACACACACACACAGACACACACACACACACACAGTCAGACACACACACACACACAAACACACAGTCAGACACACACACACACAGTCAGACACACACACTGCAACGTGCCACCTCACAATTTAACGCAGTAGAACTTGAAATCCACCTTATCTCTTTAGATGAGAAATTTAACTCTAGCAACCAGTAATAACCAGCACGAACTGCTAAGTGATACTAGTTATGAATATTCGTCCTACAGATGTGATCAAAGGTGTAAATATTTTCTGTTCCCTGCTCCATCCCCTCACCAGCCCCCTAGTGTTGAATCCCAGGGCACACAGGACTCTGGTCTTGGCTTGCAATACCCGCCGTCTCCTGACAGGGGGCGCCCCATGACCCACCGAGGCAGGAAGGATAAAGAGGAATCTCCAAGTCCTGCTGCTGGGGGATATTGGATTTATTCCCCACGCAGACATAGGCATTCAAAGGCTTGCAAGGCAAAAGGTATCGTGACAGATAAACTGAATAAACTGAAGCGGGGAGGAATGTCTGTACTGTGTTCTGGAATTCTGGTTTGAACTGTGCAAAAGCTGGAATATTTTCCATCTGGTGTAAATTGACCATGTGTTAGTACTGCTGTTTGTTTCATACAGCCAATTTCCTCTTCTTCCTTTTTCCTCTTTTTTTTCTCCCTCCTCTTTCTTCCCAGGTGATCAGCCCGACAGCGGGGAGGACAGCGGGGGGGGCAGCGACAGCTCAGGGCGGTCCTTTGTGCCCCCGCCAGGCTCTGCCATTTACACAGCGCTGCCCGACGGCTCCCCCCTCCCCCCCGGCACCGTGGTCTATGCTCCCCCAGCTGCAGGGCTGTCCGTCTGCCCTGGGACAGTCATCTACGGTCCTGCGCCGCCCAGAACCCAGCTGGTGTATGGGCCCCCACCCTCCAGCCTGACAGTGCCTCTCGTCCAGGCCGGCATCCTGCTCTGCAACGTGCCCAGTCACAAGGAGATGGTGGGTGAAGGACGTGTCCCATGGAGTAGAGTGGGAGGCCCCTAGAGTGTGACATAAGCCCACCCTGCAGGAAACTGCAGCTAACAAACCCTGTATGATCATGAGTATCTTTTATTGTGCATTTTGTGTATATTGTTTTGCCGGAGCGGCACTCCTTACGGTAAAGGGTGCCCCCTACAGGGGAGAGAGCATCACATGCTGGTGGAAGAGGTGCGGGAGCTGAAAAGGAAGCGGAAGAGGGAGGAACGTCGAGGAGGAGATGTGCAGAGGTTGCAGGAGCTGCGCGAGGATCTGGAGCAGGAGCTGCAGGAGCTGCGCAGAGCTGTGAGTCAGCTGCACAGGCGCAGGTGACTTTTCTCCCAGTAATGCCTAATATTTGTCACATGAGATGTTTCCAGTGATCATAGAAACCAAGCAGCATCTTCAGTGGATACGTTTTCTAGTCGACCTTCCAAATGCAAACGTCTGTATTATAATACAGACGCTCCTCTACTTACGAACTTTCAACTTGCGAACTTTCAGACATTCGAAAGAAGAGGACTGAAAGTCCATATTGTGTTCATTGGGCTCCTGTTTCCTGTCCACAACATTATTTTTTTTTTCTGCGCGCCAATTCCGCCTAGTACGCCTTCTGGCCGCTACTCCCGCCGCGCAGCAGCGTAGCGTTTCTACTCCCAGCTTCCTAGTTCTGTGTACTTGCGTATATCCTTAAAATGATGTTGAATAACGACTTACAAACATTTCAAATTACGAACAACCGTTCGGAACGTATCTCATTCGTAAGTAGAGGAGCGTCTGTACTTAAGTTGATGATTTGTAAATTGTACCTATTTTACCATATATATATATATGAAAGACTAGATAGATACTTTAAATGTTCTAGTGGCTAAGTAAAGATAGTCTTTGTAAGCTTATAAGGAAAATGAATGGAAATGGATTCAGTCCAATGTACAACCAATAGCGTAGGAAAGAGTAATATTGGGGGGACACAACTTAATATTATTAAACTTAATATTTTAAATACAATGGTGTTATTATAGGTGGTGAATGAATCCAAATTAAATAATGGGGGTATAGGTTCCCCCCCGTCCACCTGGGTCTTGCACCCCTGCGTACAGTATGTTTGTGGGAGAGCTCAGTACCACCGCGTGAGTCTGGGCCGCGTCTCCTTGCAGGGAAGCCCTGCAGAGCAGTGTGAGCTCCATGCTTGGGGAGATGGAGCTGGGAGAGTCACGGCGGCAGCAGCACGGGGAGGTGCTGGAGGAGGTGCAGTGTGTGGAGAAGACACTGTCACGGCGGAGGGCAGAGCTCAGGGAGGCTGACCGGTTGCTGATGCAGGCCCAGGATGACCTGAAGGAGACCAGGGCAAAGGTCTGTCACACCCGGCCGACATATCTTGCTCTCCTTTGTGCACATTTATTCCCAACTGCCCATCAGTATACATTACCAGTCAAAAGTTTGGACACAACTACCCATAGAAAGGTTTATGTGTTCTATAACTACATGGAATTAAGCACTGACAAATAAAACTGCTAAAAAATATATATATATAATTTTTTTGGGGGGGATCAGTTCTGTGGGTGGGGACTCAGAAGGTTGTCGGTTCAAATCCCTAGGTTTGCAGAGTGATCCCACCACTGGGCCCATGAGCCAGACCCTTAACCCCAATTGCTCCAGGGACTGGCTGACCCCGTTGTCTCCTTTACATCAGTTTTATGAGGTGACCTCCTGGGATGTTTTTCGGTTCTCCTGAAGGAGGTCCCACATATATGCTGAGCACTCACTGGCCGTTCTTCCTTCACTCTGTGCTCAAACTCCTCCCAAGCCTTCAGTACTGGGTTAAGGTTAGGTGTCCAGGTAAAGTGATGTGACAATATCACCCTCCTTTCTAGGCAGCTTGGCCTGTCCACACTTTTGACTAGTACTGTATAGCTGTGAAGAGATTGGGCAAGAGGTAGAGTACCAGTTAAGGACATGAACTGATCATCTGAAGATTGCAGGAGTCCTACAAGCAAACCTGAACTCGGTCAGTCGTGTGTAGTGCTGTGTGATCAGTCTATGTTCATGCTGACCCTGCAGACCAGAGAGATGCTACAGAAGAACAGCGAGGCCCAGAAGAGGCTGCGAGGCACCGAGCAGGAGCTGGAAGAGATGGAGCGTCGTGCCAAAGACTCCACAGCCCAGCTGGTCCAGGCCAGCCAGACGCTCAGGTGCGGGTCCATCAAGGCCACCTGTTACTTCTGCTTCTCCTAAGGAACCTCTGCGTAGATAGCAATTCATGTTTGATGTGTAAATACACCCAAAATTAGGATGTTGCATTAATCTGCAGAAATGGTCCAATTTCTTGGCAGGTTTTCTGCAGCTGCAGTAATTTAGCACCTGTAAATGTTAATTCCAGAGAAGCCTTTGACATGAGAAAGAGATGGGGGAAGTCATGCTGAGTGTTGGTGAATTTGCTGTTGCTCTACCAGGGACCTTCAGGACGCGGTGCAGGAGCTACAAAGGCGCCGGGTGGAGCAGGAACAAACCCTGCGAACCGTGGAGGATGCGCTTGCCGGTCGGGATACGACGTTCCAGGACATCAGCAACCAGGTGGATCAAAAGGCTAAGAAGTGAGGCGCCCCATTTATGGAATTAATTCTTATTCTCTTCTGACGTCTGCAATTTGAGTGGAATACAGCAGAGAAGCATGAATTACATCAAGATAAAGGATCTTTACTTTATGATGGCAGTGCTAACTCATTAAGGCTTTAAAGGGTAATAAGAGTTGCAATGCAGCTTTGTACATCTCAGCATGTGTTCCTTCATAGGCTGGAGACCCTACTGAGCAGCCTTCAGGAGGCACAGGGAAGAGAAGACCAGCACCTAGAGAGTCTCAAAGAGCTGGAGAGCCTGCTGGTTCGGCGCAGGAACGAGCTTGACAGGCTGAACACGGAGGTAATTACTCTGTTTGAGGAGGGTTTTGTTTCATTGCCTTCTCTTTATATATAAACCTTTTGATGGTGGAAGTTTCTGCTGTATTGTGTTTTTTAAAGTAATTACAATGTATTACCATATTTTTTGTGTACATCTGTGTCTCTCTCGTTGTTTGACGACATTAGCTACCATTTCACCATGAATAAATGCACCATAATCCGTTTCCCTAATTCTAATGATGTTTCTACACTGATGGACGTGACCCCGGATAAGGTGGCCTTGCAGCAGGAGGAAGTAAGTTCCCTGGACAGAAAGCTGGAGCAGCGTCGTGAGGATGAGCGCCTCCTGCTGGAGAGTGTGGAGCTGCGGAGGCAGAGTCTGGCAGAGGTGCTGCGGCACGGCGAGCAGGAAGCCAGGGAGCTGCAGAGGCACATAAAGGTGGACACTTCTGTTGTTCCATGTAGTCTGGCAGTATTTCAAGGAGATGATTGTGTAGAATATTGACGTGTTTATAAAGAAACAATATATCACTATGGCTCAGGATCGAGATAACAGTAAACCCGCTATTCAGAAATAAATTAGTGTAATACTTATAGTTTACATATACGACTAGCATAATATTTCGTTTTATTTCACTAGGAGCTCCGAATGAACCTTGAGGCTCTGAGTGCCCAGAAGAGTGAGCTTGGCTCCCAGCTGGCGGAGAGGAAAACGGAAGTGTCTCTGCTCAGCCAGAAATGTCTGTGGGAGGAGCGTATGCAGCAAGACACTCTGTCCCAGCTCAACCAGCACACAGCAGGTTAAGAGTCTGAGAACCATACTGATCTACTTCCTTATACTGTGTCAGTGTTTCCCAGTCTGGTCCTTGGGGACAGATGGGAGGGAGCTGGGAGGGGGGCACACGGTGTGGGCTGTCTGGGGGCTGGGAGGGGGGCACACGGTGTGGGCTGTCTGGGGGCTGGGAGGGGGGCACACGGTGTGGGCTGTCTGGGGGCCCTGGGACCGAGCTGGGAAACATTGATATAGCGTAAGACTCACTAGTTTGCAGAGTGTAAATAGTATTATAGCTGATTTTCTTTTTAACATATCAGCTGAAGTTTGTAGGAATGAAACAGTAGCTTCACACATACAGGGTTGCATGGGTTTCCCCCCATGGTCCATAATCATCACGTGTGTTTGTGTGCGTGTGTGTGTGTGTGTGTGTGTGTGTGTGTGTGTGTGTGCGTGTGCGTGTGCGTGTGTGTGTGTGTGTGCGCATAGATGACATGTGCTATGGTAAAACCTGAAACTTCCTTACTTTTGGGGACATTTTTCAGATCCCCTTTTGGATAACCTCAATTTTATAAAAATCTGTGAACGCAATCAAAAAAGTAAAAATGCCAAAAGTCTTGTATTTTGTTTGGTTATCTATAGTTGAGGTTAGGTTGTCTGGTCTTTCATCTGACCCTTCCCTCCTTTCAGGGCTGAAGCAGGTCCATGTGGAGAACAAGGAGCCACAGGACGTGAAATTACAGCGTTTGGAGCAGCTGGAGAGGAACCAGGTCTCCCTGATGCAGGTTAGCTGTAGGAGTATGAGGGGTGGGGGGTAGAGGGACAGGTGCTGCTGGACTAAGGTGGTCTGCATTGATTCTGAAATGAACCTTGGAATGTCTGCAGACCCAGAGTATATCAGTGTTTTACATTCTTAACTCACTATGCCAACTTTAACATGCTTAATTTTGTTTTGCCTCTGCTTATAAATTTTGTTGTAATGACAATGTAATGAAACTTGACCTAGGAGCGCAGCCAGCTGGAGGTCCTGAAGAAGAAAACACGAGCACTTAGGGAACAACTGAAGACACTGGAGAAAGACCGGGATCTGCTCAAAGACCAGTCCAGGAACCTGGAGGCCAGACGGGGCCATGCTGAAAGGTAACGGCCTGGAAGAGGCATGAGGGGCTCCATCGGGGGGGTGATGACTGTCCATGGAGTCCATGCACGTCTGGGATAGGAGGTTGCATGTGGTATTTGCAGACATGGAAGGTTCAGATGCAGAAAGTAAAAATCCAACCAACCAGTTGAGTATAAAGAGTCACAGTGAGAGTTCTGGTTGGCTGAAACAAAATCTTGATCTGGGGTTTGTACTTTCCGCACCTCCGTGTTTTTGTGACGTTTCAGGTGCCTGGAGGTCGCGGAGCAGGAAGCCCGGGCTGCTGAGGCAGAGAGAACTCGTGTGGAGGCAGAGCTGGAGCAGGTCAAGCAGGAAGAGAGGCGCATGCGAAGCTTAAAGCAGGCAGTGAGCAGTGACACTGCTGCAGCTCAACAACAACTGGAAGGTACCGCCACATCGCCCCCTGCTGACTCGGCTGTCTCACTTATTGTATTCCGTGTGACGTTCCAGTCGAGTCAATAAAATGTAGCATTTCATGAAACTGTTCATCCTGCCATCAGAAGCAGCGCTTGCCTGCCCTCCGCATTTAGATTCAAATGTAAAAATTTGGACGGTGTAAATCAGGATTGTGCCGTCTTGTTCATTTGAATTCCCCTGCCGGCCCCTGGAGGATGGGCCCCCCCTTAGAGTCTGGTTAGGGTAAGGGCTTCCTCTACTGCCCCCTGGAGGATGGGCTCCCCCTTTGAGTCTGGTTCCTCCTCTCCCAAGGTTTCTTCCTACTAGGAAATTTTTCCTTGACAGTGTCATTTCTGGCTTGCTTACTGGGGGCTTTGGGAAGGGATAATGTCAAGCGCTTTGAGACAATGTTTTAATGGTTGTCTTTGCTTCCAGAAAAAACAGAGGAGCTGAATCAACTAATGAAGCAGGTGGACTGTGCTCGACATGAGCTGGCGCAGATAGGAGAGGTATACTGCACTTATGGCCGTGGGTCAGCTGCAGAACCCACTGGACTGATGGCTGCCTCACTGTCTTTGCCGCAATGTCATGTCATAAAGTGTCACATGTCACGTTTGTGTAGGATATCAGAGGTGCCACTAGGAGGCATGACGAGTTGCAGGTGGAGCAAGAACAGCAGGAGGAGGAGCTGCAGGGAGGCGCGAGGAGGCTACAGGAAAGCAAGCACCAGATGGAGGTGTTGAGCCAAGAGCTCCGGAAACTGGAGGAGGAACTGGTTAAGCGCCGGATGAGCCTTAAGCAGCAGGAGCAGGTTGGTGGTTAAGATCACAGTACGGATAACAAGCCTGTTAAAACCAGTGCACCTCTAGACAATAATTCATATCAATCACTAATGTATATCCCAAATATATTTGCTTTTGGTGCCCAGAGGTGGATGGGGTCCCCTTCCCAGTTGAGGTTCCTCTCAAGGTTTCTTCCTGTTAGAGGGAGTTTTCCTTGCCACTGTTTCCTCAGACTTGGTGGGGGTTCAGGCCGGTTATATGTAAAGTGCTTTGTGACAGTGACTGTTGTTAAAAGCGCTATATAAATAAAATTGAATTGAAATTGAATTGAATTTTCTAGATGTCTTGTTATTGTCAGTCTTCACTGGAGCTCTGAAAGTTCCCTAGTTGGTGCAGATCTGCCTTATAAAAGCTTTACCAGTCAGTCTGTAACTGTAGAGGAACAGAGTACTAGTGGGATTTAGGGTGTATTGCTTATTCAGCATATACAGGCACTAAAACAGGAAGCAGTGGAGACTGAAGAACTGAAGCAGGAGAAGCTGCACAAGTTGCAGACTCAGGTGCGGGCACTAGAGGGCGCCTTGACTGAGCATAGAGAGAAGCTGGAGCGGGTGACTGCAATGGAAGAAAGGAGATTTCAGGACAAAATGAAACAAATGGGTGAGCGTCATTGTCTGCTCTAGTTTGTTTATTTCTACGCAGTGCCTTTTTTTATGACTCTAGATAACGGCACTACTCAAGCTTTTTAAAGGCATGAGTTTGTAAGTACAAAGTGAAATTAGAATCTGATTATTGGAAATCAATGGCACTATCAGCCAAAAAAAGCACTGCTCTAATGCCATAAAGTATATGTAACCTGTTATAAGTTCATCCATTCATCCATATTCTGTAACCGCTTGTCCAGTTAAAATATATAAATGTTAACATTACGTATGTGAGATATGGTATGTCCAATTTTTATTTACAGGCCAGGAGCTGTCAGATCGGGACTCTCGACTGCAGGTCCAGGCAAAAGAATCCAGGACCCTGCGTGTGGAGCTACAGAGCAAGCAGGAAGCCCTGCTCAAGGAGAGGAGAAACGCAGAGAAGAGCCAGACGGACCTCAGGACTCAAATGGAGGAAATGGAGCAGGTGAGAGGCGCCGTTGAGGGAATTGTTTGGGTCACTTTCATATCGCATGGCCTGCATCAAAGTCAACACTCTGAGCTTTCAGCTCTCGTTGTGGTAGTTTGTCATTCTTTCACTGCAGATATCGTGCAGGTTTACCCACTAAGTCCATGTCAGGTCTGTCTGGATTTTTGAACTTGTGTTTCAATAAAACACGTGTAAAAAAAGACCATACGGAGTAATGTGAGTGAAGATGCCTGGAGCTGCAAAGGTGCAACATTGTAAACACAAGGTTTGCATAACAGGAACGGGCCAAGTTACAGAGGAAGCTGGCCAGTGTGGAGCGAGTGGCCCAGGAGAACCATCAGCGAGCGAGACGACTGCAGAAGGAGCTAAATTTGACCTCGCGGGAGATGCTGAGCCTCAAGGAAAAGGTCCCCGTCCCCCCCCCCCAACAGCTGGTGACATGAGACACATGAGGCCCCAGAAGGCAGACCAGCTTCAGTGTGATACCAACCTGTCATGTGCTCTGTGCCCTCCCCAGCTGCGTGCCCAGCGGGATGGAGAGATCCGCCGGCGAGAGATCAGGGAAACGATGCACTCCCTGAAATCGGAGGTCAGGGCAGTGCTCCATACTGGCATTGAAGAGTTGGAGATGCCAACCAGTGATACCTCTGACTCAGGGAGCCACAAGGAGAACTACCCTCAGGTGGCTTCGTTAAGGAAAACTGCCCTCACTGCGAAGGTGTGTGTCCTTCCGACTCGCTTGTGACATCCTCAGGTGTGTGCAGAATCAGGTGGCGTGCTGTTTGATTAAGGAAAAGGGGGTAAGAAATGTGTTATCTTAGGAGGTAGCTAAACAAACACCTGGATCGTTTGTCCACGTCTGTTAACAGGATGAACAGTTGCAGGGGGAGGTTGTGAGGGAGAAACTGCGGCAACAGGAGGACCACCTCAAGGTACCAAAGGCAAAATATAAAACCAATCACCTTTTTCCTCACGGGAACTGAGGGCACTTTTCCACCGCACCAGGAACCGTACCTTTGGTTCTTCAAGACCACAAGTACAGAAAGTGGCTCTAGGGCTGGATCACATGTGATATTCATACCAACATCGCATGATCTGCACATGTAATTCTTACATGGCTAGTCAGCTAGATCAGTCTTCATTCTTTCATACTGTACGGGAGTTATAGGCAAGTGCGTGTAAGTTTTATTATAGATAGTTTGTCGTTGTTTTACTTTTTTTTTTTTTTCTTTCCCAAGACGCCGGGTTCTATTGAGTTTAGAGGCAGGCTACTTGCATAACCATTCGACAAGTAAAGTGTTGTAACTCCCCCCCCACAAAGTACCAAAAAAATACCCCAGCTGATTTGATACCTAGGCACTGGAACTTTTCATACTGGTACCCGACTGTACCACAAAACGTACAGTATTGGTGCGGTGGAAAAGCGCCCTAAGAGTCTTTACCCTGCATTGCCCATCTGTCACATAATATGAAAAGTTTGATAGTTTTTAAATCCTAGTCTAATTAGATGAACTTCAGTTATGTAAAAGCTGGATGTATTTTAACACAGGCTGATAGTTCAGGTCCAGAAAGTAAAAATCTAGACCAAGATTTTGTTTCAACCAAATAGTTGAGTGCGACTGACTCCTAATACTCAACTGGTTGGTTAAAACAATCATTCTTACTTTGGGGACCTGAACGATCAGCCTCTGTATTTTAAGCAGAATAGCCTATTTCATGACATTTCTCAAAGTAGCACCTTGAAGTTCCTCGGACTGCGGCCTCATGACACCTCTTGTCTTCACCCAGACTCAGCTTCGCAGGAGGATGTGGTCTCAACAGGAGGCTCTGAGCCAGCGAAGGCATCAGACAGAGGGCAGTTTACAAGGTCTGCGTAAGCGAGTGGACAAGCTGGATGAGCTACTGTGCCACTCTTCCACAGATGCTGCACCCCTAAACCTCAACGAGCATCCTCTTAAAAATGGCTGTGTACGTATGCGACCAGACTCATTTTACTGTTGGATCTTTAGCACACAACACAATTACTGCTCTCTATAAAATGTTGATCTCTTCAGGTCCCACCGTCTGAGAGCTGGAGTCTACAGAGTGGAGAAAATGATTCCTGTAGCCCAGTGCGTCTGGTCTCATCTCTCCCAGAGAAAAGTTCAGGTAAGCTGTAATAGTTCATTGATATGTAGCCATCTGTGATGTGTATTGTTTTGTCTCTGACCAACCCATTGAGTTTAATGCTATTTTGTCATGCAGATAAAAGTTGGTGACTCCAGAACTGCAGAACTTTTCTTTTTGGAGCCAATGGATTCCCAACCCCAAAACACCTTGATTCTTTTGGCTGGTAGCAGGTTTGGTAAAGAAACCTCTTTTAGCAGGGTGGTCTATAAGAGCAAGGTGGCCACAAGTTTTTGAGGTCGTTTTGAAGGTATTGGTGTTTCACATGTGAGAATCCCTGTAAGGCAGTCTGTAAGGCACATAGGTCAGTGAGAAACCTTGTCCTGTGTTGTTCTGTATACATTAGGAATATTGGTTTTCAGTGATGGTTTTTATGCTTTTTCTTACATTGTCTTTCAGAATCAGGAATCATTTGTGTCACTGACAGTTCTTTTTACTTTATAAAACTGACTTACTGTGTTGATCTACTCACATATTTTACTATACATTAAATATGTATGGACTTTCATGCCAAATAGCTGAAATGTATTATTCTGCTGTTTACAGCTACCTATACTGTTTGTTTCATATTTAAAAATGGAATAAATTATATTTTTCTATATATGCAGCCTCTTCCTCCATTTGGACCATATCTGTGTCTGCAGCAGATGTGTGCTGACCTGTTAAATTAATAGGAATGTGGCCCATGAAGTACAGAAAAATATTCACATATGCAAGTAAGAGGACCTAAATGTGTGTGCAGTTAGGCAATGAACAGTAATGAAGATTGAGGAGCAGGGGAGAGATTGATGGAGAAATAGGTAAAGCCTGTTTTAATTAGTTTGGCCAGAATATTTATAAATAATCACATTTTAGCAGAAAGCGGTCCCATGATTCAAGTGGTAATTTACATATGAAATTTAATGTGTTCCTGAGACAATCAATATTTTCACATTTTACACTTATTTGTATAATATAGACACACTGTATTTTGTATGTTATACAATATATGGACAAAAGTATTGGGACACGCCTCTTAATCATTGAGTTCTGGTGTTTCATTCAGACCCATTGCCACAGGTTTATAAATGCAAGCACCTACCCAGGCAGTCAGGTTTACAAACAGTTGTGAAAGAATGAGTCATTCTGAACACTCAGTGAATTCAAGCGTGGTGCTGTCATAGGATGCCACCTTCGCAAAAGTCAGTTCATGAAATTTCTTTCCTGTCTGATATTCCCCAGTCAACTGTAAGTGGTATTACTGCAAAGTGGAAGCGTTTAGGATCAAGAGAAACTCCGCCACGAAGTGTCAGACCATGGAAAGTAACGTGTTGGTGAGTGCTGAGGCAGAAAGTGTATAGAAAGTCATCAGTGTGTGAAGTTATTGCTGTGTTGTCCTGGGGTTTCCTCCGGATACTCCAGTTTACCCCCGCAGTCCAAAAACATGCTGAGGATGATTGGAGTTACCAAATTGGTCATAGATGTTCATGTTTGAGTGAATGGTGTGTGACTGTGCCCTGCGATGGGTTAGCGCCCCATCCTGGGTTGGCGCCCCATCCTGGGTTGGCGCCCCATCCTGGGTTGTTCCCTGCCTTGTGCCCTGTGATGGGTTGGCGCCCCATCCTGGGTTGTTCCCTGCCTTGTGCCCTGTGATGGGTTGGTGCCCCATCCTGGGTTGTTCCCTGCCTTGTGCCATGTGATGGGTTGGCGCCCCATCCTGGGTTGGTCCCTGCCTTGTGCCCATAGGCTCTGGACCCTCTGTGACCCTGAATAGGATAACCAGTTGCAGAAAATGGATGGATGATGGGCTCATTAATATGTTCATGAGCTGTGCTTTGATTGGGTGGTTTACAGTGAGACATTTCAATGGCTCACCCAGAACCAATAAACACAATAAACAAACATGGGAGTGCTTAGGCATCCAAGTATATATGAGCCTGTATCCTAGGAGAAATTGGATGTTGAAGAACAGCCAGTTGCTTGAAGATTGCAAACGAACACTTCTGAGGGGTAAGTTTTGTCATTTAATGTTTCCTGGAACTATTTTCCGCATGTAACTGTTTATTAGTCCCACTTCAGCCAGGGCACAAAGTTAACATAATCATAGCTTTGCTTTTAGGATTGTAACAAAAACACTTGAAATTATTTTTCATCTCATGCAACAAATGATTTCACGATGCTAGCTTAAGTCATGCAAGTTTTATCAAGAACCCCAAACAGCAAGCTGAGCAGCTTGTAAGTGAATTTGGAGTTCTGTCTTTTTTTCCTGTTTACTGCAGTATCGAATAGATACTTGTTTGGTTAACCAAAAGTAGGATATGGGAAGTACAGAAGCAAATCTCAGTATTACACACTTTGCATAGTAGCTAGCAACATTAGCGACTTGTATAATTAGAACTATGCAACTGTACAGTTCCAGCTATGTAAGTTGCTAACGGATGCTTTTGGGAAATGTACCCCCAACATACCCGTTAATATATCAACTTATGCCTGTGGACAGTTTGGTTCCTTGGGACGGATATGAAAAATGCCGACATCCACGTCGCAACCTTTTAGCTGTTGTCTTCTGCTTCATTCTTCAAAATACCTGCAGAAATGCTGAAGTCTGAGTACACAAATTGAAAGTTGGCTGGCATGTGTTACGTTTGGGGGTGTAATTCAGACTGTTACGAAATGGCCCGTTTCACTCCCTCCTTCGACATTTTCAGGAGTTATATTTGAAAGGGAGCTCAAAGGTGTTTCAGATTCTCCTTTTTGGACTATGCCGAAGTAAAGTCAGATTTTCATTATATGGCACCTTCAAGAGTAACACAATAAAAACTAACAAAAAAATTCTCCAAAAAGTTATTAATATCTTGTTGGATGACTAGAAGATAATGGGTACAGTTCCCAAACCTCTCCTCAGGGGCACCTTAGCCATTCCATGTTCTCCTAACATTTCAGAATGGAGTTCACGTAGTTAATTTAAAAAGTCAGTGAGGTTTGATTAGCCATACGAGGTGGGGTTGTGGTTTAATCCAAAAATCCATGGGTGTATTGGACAGTTGTTGCAAATGCTGGGGTAACTTTAGGGGTTTTGAAATGCTAACACACTATGACAGACAGACGCCAACATGAAGATCATTTAAACATGGTCTTTAACACACACTTTGACAAGCATAATAGCATAGTCTTACACCAATATAAAGTTAATTTAAACATTTTCTTTGGCTGCCCAAGACTTTTGCACAGTACTGTGTGTGTGTGTGTGTGTGTGTACATGCATATATACAGTACTTCGCAAAAGTCTTTGGTAGCCAAAGAAAATGTTTAAATCTTGCCTTTGGCAGGATCTGCCCAGGATTTCAGGATGCCTGGCATCCCAGAATGCCCAGTACTACCTGAGATGGGCTTTAGGATTCCCCATATGGTTTTATTTAACAAACCAATCTACTTTATGTCTGTTTGATTGAAGTGGCAATGTAATAACTCAAGAACTATGTATTTATTTTCCTGAGGCAATTAATTCTAAGCTCACAATCACCTTGGGGCTGTTTGGTGGGTAGGAGTTTTGGGGGGGAAAAAAGAAACCCATGTTTGTACAACAGGTTTTTTTTCAAAATAATGCATAAGGTGTTTGACAGTATTATGGGATGTCCACTATCACATACTCATTTGCTATGTAATAGGAAAATATAGCATGTGACTTGAGCCATGTCTGAATCCTCAGTATGAATAAGACAGTAGGCTAACGGTACCTGGATGACATGCCTAATTCTGCAAAATACTGAAACGTGGGATAGAGTAGCATCCATTGGTTGCACAAGGCCATTTGTGTTGCTACAACCAATATCATTTGCTCGGATATTTTTGTCAAGGTGGAGGAAGTGCAATCTCTGAACAAATTTGTGAAAGACAATAGCCAGTTACATAAGTTGACTCACATGTGTTTTGGTTTTCCCCCCCATTGATATTCTTTTTAACAGTTTTAAACTTTTTTTTTTGTTGACCAAGCCAAACATCCAGGTTAGGTGATATGAGACATACTGTTCTCATGCATACATACAGTACAACACGCACATTAACAGCTGAGTAGTAGATTCTAATGAAATCCAGTATGTACTGTGTATGTTCGTGATTTCGGATGTACCCTTTACGCTTTCAAATGTGATGAACCCAGCAGTGGCCAATGCAAAACCAACGATGTTTAATTCTGGGTCCTGTGCTCCTATTTTATTTTTACAATTTGTCAACGCAGTTTCACTAAAAGTATGAGTTTCACATGATCTGTACATTAAGGAATTCAAGTCAAGCAAAACATGAGTCTGTGAGACGAAAAATCAAACATACTGAGTTATGTTTACAGCTACCTATAGCATATGCATAAAATGTAAAATATATTGTTTCTACACATTTTTCTATAATTTTACTCAGAACAACATTACTGTAACTCAAACCAGACAATTCTCTAGATATGTACTTTATTTACAAATATTTAGATCAATAGCATTGTGGCCCATAAACCGAAAAGTACAGAAAAATATTCACATATATAAATAATAAGACCCATGTGCATGTAGTTAGGTGGTTATACACGAAAAGAACAATATGAAGACTAAAAAGGCAGAAGAAAGATCAACCAAGCAAAAGTTTTAACTGTTTGGTTTGGCCAGAGCTTATACATGTATTAGCAGAAGGTGGTTCCAGGATGCAAGCTTGTCATTCATGTATGGAATGACATGAGATTTAATGATCTCCTGAAACAAGAGCAATGATTTTACATGATACTGAGAGTACACAAAATCTACTTGAAAAGCACAATTCTATAGACTTATAGAGAAGATGGGATACAGGATCACAGCAAACTCATTGATTCCAGTTATACCCTTAGTTGTGTCAAGGTTCCTCCCTGTTACAGAAGCCGGAGATATAATCTAAAGCATAGGCGACATGCACAGGGCTTATCAGAGGAACGCGTGCACTCAGCATGCCCTGGGGGCGTAATTATTCTCTCACTGCAGTCTCTCACTAAGTGCCTTGCAGGATGGAGCATATGTGGAGTTTAACTGAACTTTTAATTCAGCTTCTTGGAGGATTTTGCTTTACTGCTCAAATCATATTGAAAAGGTGAGTAGAGGTGGCAATGCAATAGTTAATTGTTTGTTTAACCTTTGAATGATTTTAAAAATTTTCAATGTATGTTACATTCAATGCAAATACTTTTGGTTTTGTAAATTTCAATAAAAATATTTTACTAGCACAAATGCAACTGGCATTCTCATCCACCCCCCCCCCCCCACACACACACACACTTGAATGTATTTGTCTAACAGCATTTTAGTTTAACAAAACTGAGGAACAGGACTTTGTCTAATATATTTGGTTAAATTGTGCATTTTCATTCTGGCAACAGCTAATCAAACAAGTAAAACAAGTGAACAAATGGCAACACACACTCCAGGCCACTGATTACATCACATGTATCGACTCCAGTGCTACAGCTGCATATTATGTTTATTGATAAAATTACCATTAGCCTAACTGTAGCCCTGAAATGCCCCTGCAATTATACTCGGATGCATAACTGAATGATTTACTGGTTTCATAACAAATGCTGTAACCAATGAAGAATTAATGTCAGAAGGCTGCTATGCTTAGAGTGGAAACACTGCCTGCTTTACGACTTTGCTTTTCTAATGCACTTACAGATGGACGTAGTTGGCTTATTCTTACAGGAAAGTGATAAAGTGTTAATTTCTATAACTGTGGGAAGCAGAAGTAACACTAATGAAAACGTTTTCATTCTTGGAACACCCGTAAAACTGTTTCACATTTCTTTCCATTCTTAAATGCAGCAAATTTCACTTAAATTCAAGAAGGCAACATGACATTGAAAGGAAGCCACAATGAGAATGTGATATTACTGATTTCATAATCTAAATCTTTTTATTACGATTTAAAATCAAGAGCAATCATTAAAACCATTTCCAACTTAAACTGATTAGCCAGGTTCTATTATTTTATATTTATTTACCTTTTGCTTTTAATTACGAACATAAATGGTCAAGTTGTAACCCATGACATTGATAATGGATATGAAAAACGGACGACCTGAAGCTCCACTGCTTCTCTGTCCTCCTCTACACTATTACCCCTCAAAATGATGATGGGACAGCAAGCAACTGAAGTGGCCAGGAACATCGCCTGATGTGTAACACAAAGGGCTTTCCATTCACCTGTTACTGTACAGGCAGAATTACAGCAGATCATAATTAAAACTAATAGCAATGGTCTTTAACAAGTCTATTCAGACCCCTTTTCACTTAAAAACCCCCCCCCCAGCACAAAGCACCCAGTACAAATCTAGCCAATATGTGTTGCCATGGAGTCAACATCAACATACAGGAAAGAGATGATCCTAACAGTTATTTTAATCAGTGATTTATGAAAATACCCCCCCCCTTCTCTAAATTGCGGACAGATCAAACATAAAAGCCTCCAGTTACACTTCCTGTGAATGAACTGCAAACATCTCCAAAAATGTTCCTTTTCAGGCTGGCTGCTTAGGACTTATGCTAGGATCTCTTACATTTTCAAAAAAAATCAGGGTATCAATAAATATTAATGTAAAAGTAATTTAGTTCAAAGAAATGTGTTCAATATCCTTGCGTAGAACAGCAAAAATAATAAAAAAAAGCAAACAAAACACATCTCAGATAAAAACAAATTGATATGAAGTACTGCATGAAGAGGATACTCACATTTTCACTATACAGATGGTCAGAGTACAGTGGGCTATAGGGGAGATCAGTACAACTAAAGGCTGATAAAGCTGCTTTCAACTCACTTTCACTTTTCATCTTAAAATGATATTTATCTGGCATTCAAGAAAAACAACACAATTTATACACATTTAACAGTCCCTGGTTAATTTTGTTGAAAAACAGTAATATTTTTAATCTTTTCTGGAATGTAAAGTACAAATTCAGCAACTTCCTCACTGAATGTCTGGAATGGACCCATGAGTCAAGTTTCATGAAATCATGCACACATCATTCAACATTAAAGATGAATCATTCTTCATACTGAATGAGGAACCAAGCTGTACCTAGTCATCAAACATAACCTTCTTCCTTACCCTTTAGCAAACAGGCAAAAAAAACTTAAAAAAAAATAGGCCAGATGGAATCTTACTTAATTTAATTGGGAATGATGAAACAGTTAACCTGCACAGGAATTCGTACAAAGAGCCATTTTTGCATCCTTGTGGCGTTACTATTTATATTTAGACATTTTTAAAAGGCTCTACTTTTGTCCATGTCTGCTTTTTTCTTATGTTGACTTATCTGTACCCTGTGGAAAGCACCTGTGTCACATGTTGCAAGGGCAGTGACCTTTGTGCAGGATGGAGAGGACAGACAAATGGGGAATCAGAATCAGTGACTGGGGGTTAAGGAGCTTACTGGAAGGAGGGGGGGGGGGAGAATTGGAAACGGGGGGAGCTGACAGCCACTGCCCAAGCCTCATTTGGCGCTCCAGGCCCCCACGCTTGCACGGATGAGGTGAGGCAGGGCTCCTGGGCAGAGGGAGATGGGGGGCAGTTGGGGGGGGGGGAGGTCAAGCGAGTGCAGGGAGGTAATGGCGATCATTAGCAGCTGCATCCTTCCCTCTGGGGTTGTGGTTCGCTGGTTAGCCGGCCTCCCTGGGGGGCCGAAGGCTTATGCTGCACTCCTGACTCAGCTGCGTTGAGGTCAAGGCTGCCATCCTGAATGTTTTGGTAAATCTTCTTTGCTGCTTCCAGAAATGCGTCCTCCACGTTCTCACCTCTGCCAAATTAGTCAGGTAGGTAGCGATGTTAGACTGTAAATGGCAGTCATCCACAAACAGATTACTGCTGAAAGTGTAATTTATAAAACTTACGTTTTTGCGCTGGCTTCAAGAAATAACAGGCCTGCAAATGAAATTAACACCAGTTAGTACTAAACAATAAACAAATAATGAATAGTACACGCAAACCCCTTTGAAATACAGTGGTACCTCAGTTTTCAAACTCATTAGAACTCGAATTTCTTAAAAGTCGAACCAACCAGTTCGAAAAAAAATTACCTAGAACTCGATCTGAATCTCAGAAGTCAAACCATGAACGCTGACCTAAGAACTTGTACGCGCGGGGAAATGAGTCATATATGTTCAATCAATTTTATTTACAAATCACTTTTAAACAATACCTGAGTGTACACCAAAGTACCAAACATAAAAACAAGCTGGAGTAAAAAAAAATAATAATAATAATAATAATAATAATAGCAAGAAAGGAAACAGCAGACCTATGCAATTACATATATAAAGAAACAGTCAAGCTTAAGACTGCTATCAAAAATAACACTAAGGCTTTTGGCATGAAATTTACAGTGAGCAACGAATGAGCCAAGACTACTAACGAGCAAATCATTTGTGTCTGCTGATCAAAATAAAAGAATTTCAGTTTTACTCATATTTAAGGCAAGAAAATTTTGTGGCATCCAATTCTTTAAGTCCTTGAGACAACACAAATTAAAAGGTTCATAGAGTTCTTACTTGCCAGTAGATAAATCTGCGTATTGTCCGCATAACAAATGAAATGTTATGCCTTCTGAAAATAGAACCTACAGGAACCATGTATATTGAAAATAAAACTGGGCCAAGAATAGACCCCTGCAGGACCCCACCCTTTAAAAGGACACTAGATGACTACACTAAGGGACCAACAGGGACGAAGACTTATTGAAGCTCGTGAGACTCATAAAATATTAAATGATTTTCAAAATCAGGCAGACAGTTTACAAATGGAGGAAATTCAGCACCAATACTTTTATCCCACGGAGTGGGTGGCCTACAAAGATCAGTTCAAGGATACACTGTAATGCTTCAAATGAGTGACAAGAAAGCCTAGTGTGACAGTGAAGGATCTGCAGGCATCTCTTGAGGCACTTTTCCACCACACTAAGTACCATCCTTTTGGTACTTTCGCTTTTCCATTGACTTCCGGTCGAGTACTAGTACCAAAAATTCCAGTACCAAAGTTGCAGGAATAATGCAGGCCCAGTAGATAGGTGACACAAAATTGAGCTTCTTCAGAAAGGCACACAGCATTATCTTTAAAGTTAAAAAAAAGTTCACATCAACACCAAAACCTCATCCCAACTGTGAGACACAGTGAAGGGAGTATAATGGTATGTGGCTGATTTGCAAACTTAGGGCCTGGATGGCTTGCAATTATTGATGGCAGAGAATTCCAAGCTGTACCAGGGAATTCTACAACAGAACGGCAGATTGTTTGTGATCTGGAGTAAATCAACAAGGCCGTGGCTCAAACAGAAGGAATCCTGTATTCTAGAATGGCCAAGTCAGGATCCTGACCCCAATCCCACTGAAGTGATCAAATATAATTTGGAGGAAGGTGTTCAAACAAGACATCCTGAAAATATATATGGACTGAAAGATGAGTGCAGGCCTAATATATACAGTCAGCATTATAGCCATTCTTATGGGAAAAAGCAACAAAAGCAGCACATTTTTTATATCTATATATATAAACATTATAAATTCCTATTGCGCTACACTTACATTGCATTCAATTGTATTGATAATACTCAAAACCAACAATACCCAATACCTTCAGCTTGCACCCAATGAGCAGATCCTACCAGCCACTATCAGATTACAGCCATTCATCCAGAAATACAGATAATATAGCTCACAAACATTTTCTACAAAAGTATAAAAGCTCTATTTGCTCTCAGTACAATACACATATCTGGAGAGATATGTCCGTACAAACAATTTGCTCTGCCTTACTCATACAGCTACAGTAGCAGCTTCTTGCCGTCAAGGTGGACAAAAAGCTCCCTTACTGCATATGATGACAGCAGGGAGGAAGGTCTGGACGACGACTCATTTTTAACCTCAGTAATGTCTCACCGTTTTCTTCTGCAAACTGCTTGGCCTCTTCATATGTCACATCCCGCTGGGCCTCCAGATCGGCCTTGTTACCTATGAGAATGATCACCTGAGGGAACGAGACAGAAGAAACTGCTTTCAAAGGTCTCACTTGTACACACACTACACACATCACAGCATTCCATTAAAAAGACCACAAAGTATGTAGCTCTCCTTATATATGCCAGTTATTTTCATCTATATGCTTCACAAAACAACCTATGAAGCCAATACACCATGGAAAAAAAATACTATTTAGTAAACTGAATTTTCTGTGACGATTCTAAAAAGAAATACAACTGTTACCATAGCATTGAAGGTGGGCAGCAAGTTGCTTCTTAAAAGCACAGCACTAATTAACAGCCAAAAAATACAAGCAGAGACCCCCACACACACACGCCCACCCACACCCACCGGTGTGCAGAGCAACAGCCTCTCAGTAGACTGACTTACAGTGACTCATAATGTGATAATGAATGCAGCCCTTAAACAGTCATTAGTCACAGCTATCCATCATCTGCCTGGGAGAATCAGAGAGCAGAGGGTCACTTACAGTGTTGGGATTAGTGAGGTTCCTGGCATCTGTCAGCCAGCTGCTGAGGTGGTTGTACGTGCTTCTCCTACAGAAGCACAAAATGAAACGTACGGATAATCGTCAGATCAGTCAGAGCTCAACTTTTATCTTTTACATCTAAAAGAGCTTGGATGAGAGAGAGAGAGAGAGAGAGAGAGCTGTGGGGGAAAAAACAAATTACCTCATCTCAACTGCTCAGATAACAGGACCCTCATATTTCAGGGCTTTCTAGTGTTGATAATTGTACTTTTGAAGTTGAGACCACGATCTCTTAAACTGGCATGTCAACATAAACATTTACTACACCGCACAATTAAAGAACGAGTCCATCAGCGTGTGCACAATGACGAAAGGCGAGGGGAGGGGTCCTTGGCTTACCGGGTGATGTCATAGACCATGAGGGCTCCAGCCGCCCCTCTGTAGTAGCTGCGTGTGACAGCCCGGAAGCGCTCCTGTCCCGCTGTGTCCCAAATCTGTAACTTGATCTTTTGACCGCTCACCTCAATTATTCTCGTACCAAACTCTACACCAATAGTGTGGGGACAGTCGGCCATAACTGACAAGGGAAGTGAACAAATCTATTTTAAACGAACTTGAAACAGATGTTTTCACAGGCAGAAATTCAGACAGTCCGCTTAAAATAACAGCAATCTTAACGTAAGCTGGGATACCAATGAGAGCTGCTTAGGATAATTTAAATAATAATTTAAAAGGAACATCTGATAAACCAACATCCTCATAACATACCAGTGGAAGCATTAAATCAGGGGTGCCCAATCTTTTCCGCAAAGGGCCGGTGTGTATGCGGGTTTTCGCTCCAACTCCCTAATTAGATTACTAATTAGAGGATTAATTGGCTGAAGAGTCCTCACACCTGGGTTTGAACAGCTGACCTACAGGTTATCCCAAAAACCTGCATACACACCGGCCCTTTGCGGATAAGATTGGGCACCCCTGCATTAAATGGAGTTTGCTTCACAGATAACCGACTTGCTGATGTGAACTCAAAAACACTTTATAATCCCTTTGGATTATTATACATATAGACCAGGGGTCTCCAACTCCGGTCCTGGAGAGCTACCATCCAGAAGTTTTCTATCCTACTTGCTTCTGATGAGTTGACACCTGTTCCTGGTATTTATCCAAAAACAGGTGTGGCTCATCAGAAGTCAGGTTGGATAGAAAACCTACTGGATAGTAGCCCTCCAGGACCGGAGTTGGAGACCCCTGATATAGACAGTTCACAAAAAAGAATGGTGATAAGACTGATCACGTATCACTCCGTTTGTACCACACACCTACAGGACAAATGAAGTAATAACAGATGGGCCCTATGCAGGAACCTCCCACGTTTACAGTAATGATTTAAGGGAACTGGACAATTTCCAGAAAGGAGGTAACCAATTTGGACCCAACAAATGGCTTATCTTGCAAGCTGATGTTTGCTATAAATATAAAACTTCTAAATTACTCTGTGTGTACCGAATGTAGTTAAGTATATCCCAGTCTACCCCAAAACATTACACAAAGAGTCAAATTAACACAAATACAGATTCACTTATGACGGATGGTAGTCCTGCAGGATTCGAGTATTTAAAGCTAATTCACTTACATTTCTTTTCTGTAAACTGATGAAGCAAACACGACTTTCCTACACCCATATCACCTGTGGAGAGAATGAATACCAGATCAACTTTTGTCATGATTAATGCCGTATTTTAATAGGCCACAAACTCCAGGCCTCAGTGCCTGATGAGCAGAACTGGTGATCCACAGACACGTCAGACATCCGCACTTACCGATTATGATATACTTGAAAATGTAGGAATAGTTGTAGGGAGCTGTGGCCATTGTGGCTCTGTGGGAATATGAAAAAATTATGTTATAGCATCAAGGGAAATATCTTTGATATACTAAATTGGAGAAATTGCTACAAATATCTTAATGGGATTATGCTAAACTTAAATCACACCTAATCTGCTTTAGATGCAACACTGCTGTGTTACTGACAGAAATCTACAAGGTGTGGTTAGCTTGTGAGAAAATACAAAATGAATACCACAGCTCACACCAAAAAGTGCAAATTGCTACAGCGTGTGCACCTTCAGCTTTTTAAAAATGACTTTCTGCTTTCAGTCAGGGATTTAAAGAGGGTCACCTGAAGAACTTTACAAGCAATGTTATTGTATACACACTTATTACAGTTATATTAAAAACATTCACAGTTAAAAGTGACCACTTCCAAACACTAAATATAGCTCTTATAGAACAAAGTAGACACACAATAAAAAAAGTTCTTCTGGTGCTATGCTTATGAAATTGCACTATATTGCTTTTTCTGCTAGCAACAGAAGGTATTGATAGTATCACAAAATGAACAATATCCAGAAATCAATGTGTAACTTCACTAGAGGAAGTAAAAGAAGAACTCCCACACATTACACTGTTTGACCAAACAAGAAACTGAAGTGACTATTGAAATCCCAACATAAAAGGTTTCTTAACCAGACTGTACTTTTATATAACAGTATGCAAACAATATGGCTCCAAATCAATATCAACTATAGTAAAACAGAACTACGTATTATCTACCAAGAGAGTCTGTAAAATAAGTTGGTGACATTGTAAATCTCCTGCTTTTGCTCAATATGATCACTGTAGAATCCAGAACATTTCCGTACGAGTATTTGACCAGTTCTTGTTTCTCCTCCTCAATCATTTTTGTTACATTTCTCATGAACATGCCACGCTGTCTATGAGCGAGTCCGACCGCAAGGATGAAGATGATTATGATTGGCTTGGAGAGTGTAGACAGATCTCATGCAAAAGGAGGCTTGATTAATTTTACACTGATTTTTAACATACCTCAGACCTCGAAAAAGGAACATTATAAATAAACACTGTTAAAACTGCAAAGCTTTGTTTCCTATGAAACAGTAAAAAATGTTTTAGTGAAACACTGATCTATAACTTATGCTCTCAACTAGGCTTGGGTAGTCTTACAGTAAACCGCGATATTTTGGATTTCGGATTTTTGAATTTCACTTGATGAGATTTTAAAATACCTTCAAAGTACCATGCAGTACGGTCTGGACAATATGAAAAATTAGATACTGCCCAAGTCTAATCTCAACCCAGCTGACTATTGTAGTCCCTGCAACATAACAACTGCATATGGATAATGTGTTGTCGATATTAACATCGCACATTGTGCAGACCTAATATACATACAGAGTCAGCATTAAACCCAGGAAGTATTTGCTTTTTGTCCTTGGCCTCAAGCCAGACAAGAACTAGGCCAAACAAAGATGAACTACACTGGACTTGTGTTTTCCTACTACTGCAATCAGAAACTGGGCTGGGATGGTGATGCAATGCTATAGGGAGGGGAAAAATTATGTCAGAGGGCTAAATTAGTTCAAATGATTAACTGCTGAAGCACCATTTCATCTCATTGTAGACCATCAGAATAAAAGAGCAATACACCATCTTTAATCACCTGCCTGAGTTAAAAATATTAGCTAATTCACAGCCTGTTCCTGGCACTTAACTAAAAATCATTAAAAAAAATTGCTTCATATTTACTGCTTTTTCAGACGCAAAATCATGGGCTGGTCATGCAATATTTTCTCTCTCTCTCCCCAAAGAAATTATTTGGTGTTTTAACAGGCACAGCTATCGGTTTATATAGGACACTAATAAGAAAAAATCTCAAAGTACAAATTACCTACAAATGATCTAATGACCGGAATTCAAATACATGTCATTTAAAGATGCCATTTACAACTGCTGTACCTGTATCAAAAGAAGAGCTAACGAAGCAATAAACTGACATTTTTAAATCAGTTACTGTGTCAGAAAAAGGCTGAGTGGTACCATTGGGGGGGGGGGGGGTAAGCAGCAAAGAAACTAAAACTCAAGAAAAGGAAGGTGGGGAAGATCAGGAGATGCGATGTGTAAAATGAGAGAGAAAGTTAAAGGGAAACCAAGAAAGAAGACTGACCAAGCTGGATGACAATACGCATGAGTGGGCATTAACAACCAAGTTGTAAAATAAACGATATTATGATTAAAGCTACCAACATTTAATGCAAATTGATTTTATAACTGCCTATGGATTACACATTTCACAAACAAGTACATAATTAAATAAATCACCATGTACTGGCAACATAATCACACAGACAAAACTAGTTTAAAATCTTCTTAAGTACTGTATATTTCAATCAACTACATGTTAGCTCACACCAGCTATTCAACTCATCTGGATGGTGTTTACACTAGGGTTTCATCGTGAAGTCCTCATTAGCCTGTTAAATGATACCCAGACAAGAAACAGGAGCCATGACTTGTGACAGTGCAATGCCAAAATCCACAGCTGGTGAGGAGTTGGCTCTGTGCCTAATGTAAATTGATAAACTCCATCCATTTTGCACTCATTTTGCATTGCATGAGGCCAGACTAGATATTGGCATATGTTACAAAAGAACTAAGAACTTTAAATACAACTGAAAAGCAACCAAAAACTCACCGTATTTAAAAAATTGTAAATAAAACCAAAAAAGACAAATCTCACTCTACCCTAAAGAACAATATGTATATTTGTAATACATGATTAAAAATGAACCTTCTGCTCACAATGAGAATTCTGCTGGAATGCAATGAAAGTGTTTTTCATTCTTTAACTGCATTAACAAGTTTAAATGGCCATAACGGAATGTCAGGTGGTGCATTTTGTTTAGTATGTACTGCAACAGCAGCCCTCTGAGAAGTCTTTGTTATCTTAGAAAGCTGATGTGAAAGTGTTCCACCATAGGTCTTCTCATAATTGTCAAAGCACTGGGTCACATAACAGCCGCCAAAATGTTGGTTAACTCAGTAGTCTCACCACATGAAAGAGCGGATATGAAATTTGTATTAGAAGATGCTAGGAAACAGTGAGCACTTCAAAGCAAAGGAATTACAAATATCTCTGAAATCGACAAAGACAGACACCAAACTGATGACTTATCAATACCACAGTGAGAGGATCAAATACTCATACTTTGTCGGGTTTTTTTTTTTTTTTTGCAGATTATGAACCTTGTAGCCAGTCCCCAGTTAACAAACGCCAGATTGTACAGATGCCTCTGCCATACTGTGTATATGACAAACAAAACACTTTGACTAGCAATGGCTGAATCAATATGCGTACTTAACCATACTTGTGTTCTCGTATACTCATTTTACATCATCTGTCATTGCCGAAAACCAGTTCCAATACTAAGACCACAAAATCAGAGGATGGTAAAAACCCCCGGATGTTGGTCTTGCTCCACCCCAAATATCAAGGATGCATCGGGTGCATCCCTGCCAAACGAGAATAATCCCATGATTATTTGCGTGCTGTTACGAAGGCGGAGGAAGAAAGCACGAACCATAACTGTACTACTTTAACCGGAGTTCCCTTAATTGGAGTAACATTTCTGTCAGATAGTATTTTCCTGCTGCTTTTCACTTCAATTGGCTTGTGAGACTGCTGAACTGGAATGGTTAACACCTGCGTATATTTTAAATGTAAACTTTATTTGTGGAAAAAAAACACAAGTAACCAGACCAGTCATTTAGACTGAACGTTTAGATTTCATGTCATTTATTTAATACTACAATAATATTATGGCTGGGATAATCTGCTGGGCAGAGTATAGTCTGTCTCGACCCTCTATTGGTGCATTCTTTGTCCTCATGATCTTGTGAGATCGTTCTTGAAAGGCAAGTTGGCAAGACGGGTCTTGCCAAGACTGCAAGTATGGTCTTTGCGTTCTTGGTATTGAGATTTACCCAGGATCTAAGGGAATCTCCTTAAAAAGCATGCTTAAAACAAAAACTCAAAATAAAAACAATTTTCTCATTATTACATCTCATACTGAATATGTGTAACCATATAAACATTTAATTCATATTACAGCGCATCTTAGATGACGTTTTCACACTGCCCCAACTTTCTACTTTCTCCAGCATTTCATTGTCTAAGTGCTACTATTTATGAAGCTGGTTCTCCTGAACAGCTGCATAACCAATGAATGCATGACAGCCACAGCACCAGGGAGATGCCACTCCTCAACTCATCCCATTGTCAACAGATGGAGATAAAACAGATAAAAACTGCAACAAGCAGATAAGGTTTGTGATGCGTGACTTGCACAGACTCATCATTTCAGTATATTTATTCTTTGTGTAATTCTCTTCAAAATTCTGCAGTACTAAAATCATTTTAACATTAGACCTTTCTATGAGTTTCAGTTTTAATAACATTATTATATATTAAGTACTGGCCCTTCCACTGCTGAACACCAAACACACTGGGGAGACACAAGAGTGCAAGGCTACACCTGCCTGCAGTTTGGCATTAACTAGTAATTCATTCAAAAAAATTCTTCCAGATCTCATGCAGACATGGTGCCATAGCTTCCCATTTAGCCCTGTACAGATGAGCATGGAGGATAAAAACCTGTAATACACTCACTCATTTAAAGGGGAAAATATAAATATATCAAGTTTATTTTCCTTTGTTTGCCAAAGATGAAAATATACTGTATGCAGGTGATGGAGACAATGTTGAGGTCAAAACACTTAAACTGTGAACGGAGCACACATTCCCTCAATATGTGTAAACAGTCGGTACATGTATATGCTGTGGTAAATTATATATTTTTATAATGCTTGATGGAAATAAATTACAATAATTTACATATGAAATTGTGAATTTATCCAACAACGGAGCGGCATCTGGCTCTGCGTGTTAGAACGGTGCTGGTTCACATCCCATGGCCAGCAGAGTGGTCACATCACCGTGGGACCCTTGAATAACAGTCACGTCATTGTTGTGCACTTAACACAAAAGCTCCAGGAGTGACACATAAACAACCCTGCACTCACAAGCATGTCACACAGGAAAGTAAGATAGGATACGTGAAAATTAAAGATATATAAATGGCAAAATACAGTTTCATTCAAATGTACTTTGCCTTCATTACACTGGCAGACATATTTTCAAGCAAAAACATTATATTTGACAGTGCTGTTAAAGACAGGCCACGTGAAAATAATTACACTGCACTGGAACTGCCTACATATGCCCAATGGCCAGATGATTTCTTTGTGTATTTAATCTTATAATCAGCAGTAAAATCTCTTAAATATTTAGACATAAGTTACATGATTAGAAAGTTGTAGCACTGGTCTATCCTAAGGAGATGGTACCTTGCTGAGACAGGCCTGTACAGATGCTGTGTCATCCAGTTACCCCACAACCAGCACGTTGTCTTTACCTCCATACCTGTTCCATATTATAGACCAAAAGCGTGTTACTTAGACAACGTGTCTTCTTTTCTTATCTGATTTTACTAGCTGCTCAGTTGGACCGGGTCGCTAAATCTTTTAACTGCTCAGTTCCACCCAGGTGTCACATGACATCAGCTAGTCAGCTAGCTAATTGGATAACCCACAGAAGACGGGTAGTTACCAGCAACCTATCCATTTGATATTAAAATAACGACAAAAAAAGGCATTTTATTAATAAAAAAAAAATAACAAACTGACTTTGGTATTGTGAACGAAAGGCTCGAATAACAAGTTAAACAACTAACTACAGTTCATGGCTCGCTAGCTAAGGTATTTCAACCGGCTAACTAGCTAGCTTGTTGCTGATGAGCTTTAATGGGTAGCGGGTAAATAAGATGGAAATGACTGCCCAGTGCTTTGCTGATGTAACTACAGCCACACTGACATAGAAGCAGCCGGTCACAGCTACCTACCGACATATCGCCATAGCTGCAAAATGGACCGTGCTGGCAAACTATGCATTTACAAGGCAATGGCTGAATATTTTGGTTGAGTGATTACAGCAGCAAACAGGTGACGGCCTGTCACAAAAGCACTTTGCTAGTGGCCTACTCCCAGCCACCGTGTCATGTCACCGCTACTCCCAGCCACCGTGTCATGTCACTGCTACTCCCAGCCAAGCGCACCGTCGCCACCGCAGACCAGGGACACTACACCCTGGGCGGATTTAACAAATATGCTGTGAACTGACCAGACATCCAGTTAGCTATTAACCAGTGTGGCCAGTTTCCGAAAGATGCACAGGAGTTGTATGGCCGGCAGGCCGAAACGGGGTCTTTAAATCGGTGCCCCTTTCCCGGTACCCTGAAGGTTACTTAGACGTTTACCCCAGCACACGATAGACGAGAGACGTCAGGGCGATATCGGCTTTGTCTGCCTCTCCTGTCATCACACAGCTGCGAATAACACCATTTGCACCATTGCCACTGAAGTAGATAACAACAGAACGACAGACGCACCGTTCACAGGAAACAAAAGCCCTACATATCCTAGAGATACACGATTAATATACGAGTCGTCACGTTTAAGAGGCGGGTGTAGCCACTTCCACCTTTCACGTTATTAACCAGCCACCGGTTTACTGCCTTCCCGACGCAGCTAGATGGCCAGCTGCTGAAAACTAGCAAACTCGATAAACTGTCTCACTAGCTTGAGATCGCTTGCACTTACATATCATTAATGAATTAAACAACCTTCTCCTATAGCAGGTACGGCACGTACGTATGTTTACTCACCTCGGCTTGGCTTTTCCAGCAACGTTTCCCTCCGGGTTTACAGGCGAATCTAAGGAATATCCCTAGCTGAGGTACGCGTCCAATCCAAGATGGCGGCCTTCGCTGCGCGTCTTCCGCCGTCTGGAGCGTGGGACAAAGGGCACGCGCACGCTGACATGCCGCAAATACATTAAAAGCCACAGATCACCTGAAAACTTATTGCCTGTTCAATTCAAAACATGTATATCTGATAGAAATGATATATAAATAGACGACGATAAGCCTTTGAAAATACATGTGTTTACAAGGACATATCTATGTTGTTGTTATAATAATAATAATAATAATAATAATAATAATGATGATAATAATTATTATTATTATTGTTGTAGTAGTAGTAGTATTTAAATGGAAACATTTGGAGCCAGTGAAAAATAATTTAATATTACTCACAAGATATCAGGATGAAAAGAGCGATGATCTCAGTATTAATGCACAAGCTATATTTTAAAATATCCCTGTGTTCTCCCATATTTTGTGTGTGTCTGTGTGTCTGTGTGTTTATCTGACTGACTGTGTGAAATGTATAAGTTTCTTCATTTACCTCATATGATACTGATGATCAGAACTGGAGGGAAGCCATTGTTAAACTAAGAAGCAATCAAAGGTTTCAATCTAACGTTCTTTGAATGAAAGTTGTTCTCAGGAACCCTGGAACAGAAATCACTGGGTTTCACAGAGCTGAGATTGTTCTTTCTGTAAGGGTAACTTTAAAAATAACAGTCACTGAGCTTCCTGCCTTCAGTGCTGTATCCTGGTGATGAAAGAATTACATGAGGATAGTAGTCGTGGTCATGTAAATGTATCATCAGTAAATGAGAGTCTAGTGAGATGTTGAAAGGGCCACAGCAAAAAATCTTTGGACATCTAGGCATTGATCTTAGACTTGCAATTCCTTACAGTCAAAGAACAGCTGGTCATGCATTCTTTCTTCCATGTTTTGAGGTCAGACACTGAAACAGTGACCTTAATCACCCACACAGGGGCATTGATCGAAGTAGAAAAGGCTGAGGAAAGGAAGAATATGAAACTATGATGAGAATCAGAGGCAGAATGCTGGGTGACACTGTAACAGAGCAGATGGCTGAGGCAGCTTGCATAAAATGTAACATTACTAGCTGAGAAGACTAGGAGATATCTGATGAACTGTTAGCATAATCTTGCATTTGATGCATATAACTGGTCTCTCTTAATTGGCCACAGGGTATGACTGTGTGTATATGTGGCCTGTGATGTAGTGGCCTCCCATCTACCTGTACACCAGCCTTGTGTCCTCCCTTGCCTACAATGGGCCACGCCCCCTGCGACTAGAATAACAGGCGGAGAGATGGATGGGAGGGATACAGAAAGGCAACTTCTCACTTCCTGGTTTATGGGTTTCATTCCTGGCTATAGCGGTCTGTTTGTTGAGTTTTTTTTTTAAGGACTTAGTGATCAGTAGTGAGACACCACAACACACAGTGCACCACAATGAAATGTGTCCTCTGCCTTTAATCCATACGTGACGACGTGACACAGCAGGGGGCAGCTAATTCAGCGCCCGGGGAGCAGTGCTTGGGGGCGGTACCTCGCTCAGGGTACCTCAGTGGTGCCTTGCTGGTCCAAATCTGCAATCTTTCAATTACAAGTGTGCTTCCCTAACCATTAAGCCACCACTGCCCATGTGTGTTTGCATGTTCATGTGTGTTTAAATCGTTTACGTTTATAGGTGTCACAAAATTGCACAAAGTGTGTGATTGTCTGGCATGAGACGGGCATACACCAATTTCTACGATGCTTCACTAAGCCCAACTGATAATCTAACATTTCAGATTGTTTTACTCTGCAATATGTAGCAATTTTTCTCCTATATGACCATCATCAAAAGAAACACTTTATTTGTTACCACTTGAAGTCCTATAAGTACTCAGTGACTTTGTGACTCAGACATTGTTGTGCAGGAAGGGATCGCAGCCATTCTCACACAGAGCTAACGCTGCACGGCGAGGACAAAAACCTGATGTCCAGTATTAGACGTCTTGCTCTAACCCATGTCCTTGTCTGGACAACAGTCAAACTTTTTCTAACTGGACAATAGGCATATTTTGTTATGCTTACAGAAAACTAGCAAAACACACATAAAGTTTTTAACAGCTTTAAAACCCTGTTAAAGAAGTACTGTTTAACAAATTCTAGAGTAAAGTAGAAAATAAAGAGAAATGTTTATGGAAAATTCATCTGAAAAGAACTAACACAGAATAATGATAAAAGAGGATAAAAAAGGATATAGTCGGTCATAATTTAAGATTAGACTTTAAGAAAATACGTATACAAAAACTATTTTTTGTTATTAATATTGAAATAGTAATTTAACACTTTGGTGCGTGAGATATACCTATTATTTAACGCATATTTACGATGTTATCAGCAGATTAATATCTCTGCGCAAAATTGCTGAGAAATACGTTGTTAAAGACTTGCTAAGTGTTTAAAATGTCTTCCCTCAACGACAGTTTAATATAAATAATGTACATGAGTGTAGAAAGCCACTATATGATAATCATTGAGGTCAAACATTGTTATAATTTGTATGGTTAAAAAAAAGTATATAAAACGCGACTTTTAAGTAAGTCATAGATTTTAATATCCTAATCAAATTAAATATACATTTTCGATGTTTGCGGAAAATATAAAGCATGAGATTAATATCAAATGCCCGATAAGCTTATTTTCAAAAACAGCTGTATTTTCTGGAGCAGATGTTTCGAATGATCCTAAATACTTTAACTCATTTAATATATGGATTTATTTAATACTCATTTAAAACGTGAAAATAAATGAACGTACAGGCGAGAAACAATGACAGCGAAATGCAATAAGAAGAGAAGCTAAATATCTTCCTCAAACACACACCGAATATCCAGTGGGACGGATCGTGCAGTTCCGTGTTTGTTACGGAAGTAGGGCGGCTGGAGTCGCTGTCCAGCGTTTTTCCAGCCCGTGCAGCGGGATCCGAGCCCTCTGCCTGTCAATCCGTTTCTTAGGGGAGTTGCCCATGACTAACGTAAAACCTGCCGTCTAAGGACGCAGTGCTGCGCAGTCAGAGACGCACGCTGGACAGGCCGGTTGTACTGCTCGATCGACAAGCAGCAGATTACTACTAAAGGTAGACAAGCTCAACACCCTTTTGTCACTGGTCTTGTCTTGCTTGTTCTTACAAAACTCACCAGCATACCGTAATCTCTGCGCTTGGTGTTTCTGCGTGCATTAACTCAGTAATTTAAAATTTGTAACATGCTTTATGTGTGGTTTATGATTCTGCTTCCTGAAACACTTTCTCATGCGGAGTAGACAGCAGTGTGTGTATATATATATATATATATATATATATATCTCAGATATTTTAGATATTTTTACTCCGATCGAATGTCCCCCATTTAGCAAATGATGTCCTGCTGTTCACTCTCTAATCCAATTAACAATTTGGTGACGCTGCTGCATGACGTGGATTTGTAAATTTTCGTCTAAGAGTCCTTTATAAATCGTGGGATTTCCATGTTTTCGGGAATTGCGCTTACATTAGTCACTTGTTGAAATATTTTGTTTATTTTGCATTATTTTATAGAAGGAAATAGATTGTAAATATATATACAGACGTGGACAAAATTTTGTTACCCTTACAGGACTCAAATATTGACAGATAAACATAAAAAAAAAGCCGAAATTGAATTAGCCAAAATGCATATTGACTAGCCCCAAAGTTTCTGGGAGAATGTCCTTTGGACTGACTAAAGAGACAAAACTACAGCTTTTTGGCCAGTGAAGATGAAGATTTAAAAGAAAAGAACACCATACCTACTGAGAAATATGGAGGGGTTTTGTCTTGGGGCTGCTTTGCAATGAAATCTCAAGACTACCAAGGCATCCTGGAGTGAAACATACTGCCCAGTGTCAGAAAGCTCAGCCTCGGTCGCAGGTCATGGGTCCTCCAACAGGATAATGACCCAAAACATACAGCTAAAAGCACTCGAGCATAGCTGAGAAAAAAAAGACTGGACTATTGTTTAATGGCCCTCCATGAGCCCAGATCTTAATCCTGTTGAACATCTATGGAAAGATCTGAAAAGTGCAGTGTGGAGACGCCACCATTCGAACCTGAGACAGCTTAAGCAGTTTGCTCAGGCAGAGTGGGCCAAACTACTGATTAGCAGATGCAGATGTCTCACTGTGAAGTACAGAGATCGCTTGTTGGCAGTGATTGGTGCAAAAGGAGGTGCCACAAAATATTAAATTGAGTACCTTTTTTGTCTGTGCCATTTTCATTTGTTTAATTATATAAAATATTCAACTGAACCAATAATCAAAAGCAAAGTCTGATTTGCGTTAAATATGGAATAAACAATAAGGGATGCCATTAAACTTTTGTCAGTTTCAAGTTATTTCAGAGATAGTTGTGTTTTTTTGTTTTTGGTGGAAGGGCACCAACAAATTTGTCCACATCTATATATGTAATATATGATAGAACTAACATTTCTCCTTTCTCTGTGTTAGGCAAATAATGTGAACTGATATCATATGAGTTATTCTGACTTTATCTTTAATCATTTAATCCTTTTGTTAACTTTAAGCACATTAAGTGTGTTAATAAACAATGTCCTGATCTATGGGGTTCATGTCCTCTTATCACATTTGCACCTGCTTAATTGTTCTACTTCTATTAATTCATTTCTTTAAATGCATTTGGTAACGTTTTCATTACTTAAGTAGCAGGGTCTTGAGCAAATCTGACACTTCTAGAGGAAGATGTGACCCTTATGTACAAAAATTCTAGTGTGACCTAGAGGACTATTCAATTAGGTAATACTTGTCATTTTGTGGTACTGTCTCTATACATGTACACTGATTGAGTATGTAAAGTGGCATCATTAATATGCATTTAATTAAGACTCGATTAATCTGTGCACAATATGCTTCTCGCTCCTAGCTGGTATGCACTCTGTAAGCAGGCTGTCTTTTTGATATTCACCGGTATCAGTTTCTTTTGTTTTTCTTTGTCCAAAGTCATTACTGATGCTAAACAGATGGACACGCGATCTACTGTGTCACATGATCTTCTTTCCCTGTAACTCTGACCCAGAAATGACCATTGATAAATGTTTTCTGGAACCATGATGTATGTAGCTGTTCTCTCTTCCGTATCTTTATTTAGAACATTGGAACAAATCTCTGAACTGTATATGACCTGTCAATGTGGTGTAAGAAGATTGATCAACTAATAGCCTCTTTTTGTTCTGAAGATTTGTGAAATGTAAACACTTCAGATGGTTTGTATTGTGTCTTCAAATGTCATTTACTCCTTAATTGAGCTTTTCATTTTATGCACACGTTAAAAAATGAATGTTACCCTACTAGGCTTTTCATCTTTGCCAAGAAGACATTTTGTTTTGGTGGCCTCAGCTGTACCATTTCTGCTCTGTACGGATATTGTTAGTCTTCAAAGCCTCAGTGTGCTGGGAGAAGGTTTTCCAGTCCTGGTCCTCGGAGGCTGCTGCATCTGCGGGTTTCCATTAGCCGATCTCATCATTAGCTTGAGTGAATTGATAGACCGTAATACAGATGTAGACGCCGTTTCTACTTGTGTATTAATTAAGAGAGAAGTGTTTCAGATGCGTCGGTGCAATTAATGTCTAAAATAGATAATTTCTAATTGAATTAGTTTTAACTATTAATATAGGCAATTATTTAGAAAGAATTGAGATATGAACAATTAGAAAATTATCAAGAAATCCTTATCAAAAAATAGCAATAGTAATTAGAGTAAATAGCGTACGTTCCTTTGAGTGAATTTTGGATTTTAAACATTTGAGGGGAAAAAGGAAAATGGTTCTTTGCTCATACTGTAGTTGTATCATAATATGATGCATCATTTTAGCCTGTAGTGATAGAAGGCATGGAGCCAGAACGTACCAGTTCTCCCCATTAGTTGGACTATTATAAAACCCTTTACTGCTGAAATCAATTATTTGGGTCTTGTCTTTTAACTTGAAAACACAGCTTATGTTTTTAAATGTAATTATTTATATTGTCTTTATTTGTTTAGACTAGGTTAGTAGAATCACTTTTGTGTAATATTTGTAGCTTATTTTGTAGTAATTTGAAAATTCGAAACTTTTCACATAACTTTTAAATGTGCATGCTCAATGTGAATTTCAGGGGAAGGCAACATTAGTGTTTGAAAATTCGCGTAACATGTATATGATAAGTTGATATGTGCCTGAATTTGCACCGCTTGACTGTTTTGTACCTTATAATACCTGTGGTTAATATTCCCTTTGGAGTTGAAATAATTACTTGGCAATATGCTCTAGAGACCCTCTGAAAAGCTTTGTAAACAACTCGAGTGGTATTTTTGCATCATGACTTTGTAAGTGGAGAGCACCTGCTAATTACACCTACTGCATAATTAGCTCTTTTTCTGTGCATCAGATTCTGAAATCCTGAAAATACCCACATCTGAAACCCAGAACTAGAATACGATGCTGAAATGGCAGGCTGGCTTTTATCATTCAGATGAGATGAGTTATTTATAACACTCTATAAAACACATCTCCAGAATAGGAGCAGTTGTTGATTTAATGGATTACACACTTTGAATGTGTTTGATTCCTGGTCAGTGAAGGAGGAGCTTGTAGATGAGTCCCGGACAATTAAGCACTGTTAAGGGCCTAGTCTGTGCCTATGCCTCTGTTGTACCGCCTCTGTTTTGAATGTATGCTAGCTGTAAACAGAGTAGAGCAGTCCAGACAGAGTTACTGTTTGTCTGCAAGGATGAGCCTGCAGAGGTGGGAGTGCTGAGCCGCACGGCAGATCTGAGTCACTTGATGTTTTGTGTTGTGGGCCGACTTGCTGGGGACCTGAAAGGGTTCCCTTGTTGTTTTGCTCAGATGTCCCGGCCTGTGTACACAATGAGGACAGTTGTTGCCTGTCTTTTCTGCTGAACCTGCAGCAATGAAGAATAAATTTCAAGACGCAAGAGTCTTGAGACCCGGCATAATTCACCATAAAAAGAGAATATTATGCAAATCTGTAACCAGCGCTGCTTTTTCAATATACCAGTGACACAGGAGATATTTTCCAAGGAAAAGAACACTGCTAATATTAAGATGCTAGACAGAAGCTTCTAGTTTGACAGAGTGCATGTGTCCGTACCCTTTAGACGCCATGGTGTACTACACGGAGTTTGAACAGGCTGGCCGAAAGCCAGGCCTCCAGCTGTGGAGGATTGAAAACATGAGCTTGGTCGAAGTGCCAGAGAATCTACATGGAGACTTTTACACTGGGGATGCCTACCTCATCCTCAACACCATCAAGCAGAAGTCTGGCTACCTGCAATATGACCTTCACTTTTGGCTTGGTAAGAAAGGCACCGACTGAGGAGACCCTCTCCTAGTAGTCATCCATGTCCTGTTTAACAAAGCTGTCCCTTGTTTGTAATTATCTATCAGTTACATTATAATGCATTCATAAAGTATCATAAACATGACGAAATAAACAATAACTATAATAATAATAATAATAATAATAATAATAATAATAATAATAATTATTATTATTATTATTATTATTATTATTATTATTATTATTATTATTATGACCTAATAAACAATAAGTATTATAAACAATACGTATTATAAACGAGGCTAATCATTTATAATAAGGCATAACACATTATGCATTATGAATGCTCTATGAAGCTCTCCTATAATACACTATAGATACCTTCATAATGCACGTAAGAGTCAGTATAAGAATTAAGGATGCTTTGTCCTGCATTATGAAGGTACTTATAGTGCATTATTAATGAGCTTCATAGAACATTCATAATGCATAATAAACATGGCTATAATGTATTATGCTTTTTTATAAATAGTTGTAGCTGTGCTTATGACACTTTATGAATGCATTATAATGCATTATGACTGCTTTAAGTAAAGTGTTACCAAAGTTTGTTTTCTCATTGAACTTTGGTTTTAAATGGTGTTTAATAATTTATTCAGATGTCCTGCCTGCCATTTCACTATTACAGGCGATAGCTGCTCTCCAGATGAGTGTGGAGCGGCTGCTATTTTTACAGTGCAAATGGATGATCATTTGGGAGGCAAGCCCGTCCAGTACCGCGAGGTCCAAGGCCACGAGTCACAAACATTTCTAGGCTACTTCAAGTCTGGACTCAAATACATGGTGAGAAGTAGAGATACTCGTTATAATTCCTATTCCATAAAGCCGTTACAATAATGACATGTATGTATCCCTAGAAAACAAAAGTAAGCTTTTACCTTCCCCCTGTCCCAGGAAGGTGGCGTCGCCTCAGGGTTCAGACACATAGTGTCCAGTGAAACTGCAGTTCAGCGTTTACTGCAGGTGAAAGGTCGCCGTGTTGTCAGGGCCATAGAAGTGCCTCTCAGCTGGGCCAGCTTCAACAGAGGAGACTGCTTCATCCTGGACTTTGGTGCTGTGAGTCCATTTAAAGGGGTGTAACAAGACTCTTTCTTGGGTCTGAATTTGATTGGAACTTATATTGGGTCATTAGTTGACAACAGACTGGGATATATTTAAATGTTTGGTTATAATACACATTCACTTTAAAAAGACATTTAAGGAACAATGTCAAAATGATATTTCTCCAAATAGCAAATCTCTGAGTAATGTTATTTTCTTTTAAAACTGTTCCTTGTCTTTTCTTTCTATATCACCATGGATATTGAAATGATTCGTTGGTGAAACACAATGCATGTGATGTAAATTATCGCCAATGCCGTATCAGAAAAGCAGACCAGATTCATTATATGGACAAAATTACTGGGACACACTCACTCTTAATCATTGTATTCAGGTGTTTCATCCAGACCCAAGGCCGCAAGTGTATAAAATCAAGCACCAAGCTTCAGGTTTATAAACATTTGTGAAAGAGGTCAATGAATTCAAGTGTGGTACTGTTATGGGATACCACCTTTGCAATAAGTCAGTTTGTGAACTTATTATTATTATTATTATCGTGAACTTAGATATTCCACAATCAACTGTAAGTGGTATTATTACAAAGCGGAAGCCTTTGGGAACATCCACAAAGTGTTAGACCACATGAAGTAACAGAGCAAGGTTGCCAAGTCCTGAAGTGAAAAGTTCAGTGACGAATCCCACTTCTCTGTCTGGCAGTCTGATGGACAAGTCTGGGTTTGGCGGATGCCAGGAGAACATTACCTGCCTGACTGCATTGTGCCACCTGTAAGGTTTGGTGCAGGAGGGATAATGGTATGGGGTTGTTTTTCAGGGGTTGAGCCCCTTAGTTCCAGTGAAGGGAAGTCTTAATGCTTCAGCATACCAAGACGTTTTGGGCAAATCTATCCTTCCAACTTTTTGGAAACAGTTTGGGAAAAGCAGTATTCTGTTCCAGCATGACTGTGTCTCCATAAAGGCATGTTTGGGTGAATTTGATGTGGAAGAACTTGATTGGCCCACACAGAGTCCTGACCTCAACCCCACCAAACACCTTTGGGATGAACTAGAACCAAGATTGAGAGCCAGACCTTCGTGTCCAACATTAGTGCCTGACCTCATGAATGATCTTCTGGATGAATGGCCAAAAATTCCCACAGACACACTCCATAAACTTGTGGACAGCCTTTCCAGAAGAATGGCAGTTGTTATAGCTGCAGCCGGGGGACCAACTCCAAATTGATGCCTATGGATTTAGAATGGGATGTTAGTTTTCTGTAGGTATAATGGCTAGGTGTCCCAGTACTTTTGTCAGTATAGTGTACAATATATTGATATTTTGTTTTATTTTGTCTTCTCCGCCAAAGGAAATTTACCAATGGTGTGGATCTCAGAGCAACCGATTTGAGAGACTTAAAGCGACTCAGGTTGCCAAGGGAATTCGTGACAATGAGCGAAGTGGGCGGGCCCGCTTGTTCATTTGTGAAGAGGGAGAAGAGAAAGAGAAAATAACAGAGGTAAAAAGTCAGCCAGAAGAGTATGCTTCTGAGATAATTATTAAAAAATAATCATAACTTTATGTACTTAGGTTTTATATTTGTATATAGTGGAAAAACAATCACAAAATATTAGTTAATGAAACGTTAATGAAGCTTTCTTGAAAGCAATACTGTGCAGGGGAAATGATCTCCTCTGGTTGGCTTCCATTGGAATGTAGATATTTAGCAGAAGCGTTGTAACATCTCCAGGTTCTTGGAACAAAACCAGATTTGCCCGAAGGACAGTCTGATGATGTCACAGCTGATGCTTCACATAGAAAACTGGCGAAATTATACAAGGTATGAGAACTGGGAAGAATCACCTAGACACAACTGTATGGTGATATGTGTTAATTTGTATTCACAACTGATCATCGTATAGCGTTTCATTTGCAAATATTCCTTTAGATACATTATTTTATGCACAATGTTTTCAATTTATGGAGATACCCGCTGCCCAAAGTGTTACTTTATAAGAATATTGTTGTTGGTCAGTCAGGGATTGATGGATTTCCTGTCACAATAGTAAAATAACTATTTTGCCTCTTGCTCACTCAGGTGTCCAATGCTGGTGGAGACATGGCTATTGCCATGGTGGCAGCAGAAAACCCGTTCTCCCAGAGTGCACTGGAATCCAGTGACTGCTTCATTCTAGACCATGGCTCTGATGGCAGAATCTTTGTGTGGAAAGGTCAGTAGGGGGTCCCATGGGCACTGTGGTTCAGAATGGGTCAAAGAGGCACTTTCCGTGAACTAGCCGTTAAAGGGCAGTTCTCATCCAGCACAAAGATTGCAATTCCATTAAAACTGGTGAACTTTAATGAAGGTATGCAGCAAGTAACCTGCAGGGGCCAGTCAACTGCAGAGTGTTGGAATCTGCATACCAGTATATTTCAGAAAGTCGCCCTTATGGTCAAATAAATAGCAATGTTTGTACAGGTAAGGAGTCCAACGCAGAGGAGCGGCGTGCAGCGATGAAGGCTGCAGATGAGTTCATCAGGAAGATGGGTTACCCCAAGCACACCCAAGTCCAAATCCTTCCTGAGAGAGGGGAGACGCCGCTCTTCAAGCAGTTCTTCAACAAATGGAGGGACGTGGACCATACCGTTGACTTGGGCTTGGCCCACGTCTCCAACAAGATTGCGAGAATTGAGAAGGTGCCTTTCGATGCCTCCACGCTGCACAGCAGTCCCGCCATGGCAGCTCAGCATGGAATGGTGGACGAGGGCTGTGGACAGAAGCAGGTAAAGTGATTACCGGCTCCCTGGGGGCTGCCTATTCACTGCTCTCCCGTGTTGTGACTGGGATGGCGTTCACGCTCTGAAGAAGCAGATGAAATTACAGAAGCATGCAAGAAAAAGCCATTTGTCCACATAGAATTCAGTCACGAAGGGTCTTGCCTCTCTTTCATATTATTTGTCTCTGTCTATAGATCTGGCGCATTGAAGGATCAGACAAGGTTCCTGTAGACCCTTCTCTCTATGGTCAGTTCTTTGGAGGAGACAGTTACATCATCCTTTACAACTACCAACATGGCGGACGCCGCGGACAAATCATCTATATCTGGTGAGAGCTGTGCTGAACATTGTTCTTCGGTATGTTTGATATGAAAGTGGGCATTTCTGTGAATCCATATCATATATTTAAAATGCATTCATTCCTAAAATATGTATTGCTCAGTATATTTAGATCTGTAAAATTAAATTCCTTATTATTTATTTTCTTTGCAGATCCATCGTCTGTCTAATGCATGATATATTCAGAGTCAATATGGCAGCCCCTAGTGTGTGTGTGTGTGTGTGTGTGTGTGTGTGTGTGTGTGTGTGTGTGTGTCCTGCGATGGACTGGAATCCTGCTCAGGGTGCCCCCTGCTTTGTACCTTATTACTGACAGTGGATAGAGCATTTAGCACTCTGGTCTCACATATTCAGAGTTAACAGTACAAATGTTTATCTAAGTAAATGACATTAATCACTGCCTGTATAAGACTGTATCAGTTGTTTAAAAGGGTTATGGCTATATGAATGTTATTAACCCTGCAACCCTGTATTGATAAGCAGTTGGTTGATGGATGGATGGATGGATAAGTATTATTAAACCTAACCATATAGCTCGCTAGGGTTAGCCCAACATGCATATTTAGATGCCTTTACAATATTATAAATACAGAAATACTTACATAGTTACAACTCAGGATGGCAATAAAATAAAAACTGTTGTTCAAAGGCAGGGGACAGATTCCACTCAGGATGAAATTGGAAAGTCTGCCATTTTGGCTGCCCAGCTGGACGAAGAGATGGGGGGGGTACCGACACAGGTAATGCTGACACATGCAGATGTTTCAAAGCCATTCAAAGCTGAATTTACCTGAAGGATATTCAGTTTGGTCATTTGTGTTTTCAATAAATATTAAAAGTTGGACATACATATGGTTTAGTAACTTCAAAAAAATAGTAACAGGATGCGATTTAAGACTTTTGTCGTATATTTTTGACTGAAATGCGTGAAATGTATGAGAAGCCAGACATCTAGTATATTTTTCTGGTACTACTTCTGAGAGCAGGGATAGGAAGCTGGTTTTGTTCTGATTTATCTGGAGAACAGCATGTGTGATCATCTTTAAGCTTTAGCATTTGTGTGGCCCGGGGAGTCACTACTGGTGGGGGCCCCCTATCTGTATGAATACCTGTGTGACGGACGATCTGCCAGTCTCCTCTTTCAGTGTCACGTTCACCAGCACGTCTTCAGGCTAACAGTATGGTTATTGTGGGGGCTTGTCTTTCTTTCTGCTCTGTGTTACGCTACACAGCTAAGTGTCACAGGTACAGACTGTCATTGTCATTAGCTACCAAGGTTGGTATCACTTCCAGATACCTGATCCTCTTACTATAACTCATAGACATTTGTTTGATATGGATGCAAAGAAGTGTATTGGACAGACAAGGGCTTCACCTTCCTGCGATGCTCCAGGGGTCCGTAGACTAAGATCCAGACCTTTTGTGTCACAAACACGCTTGACAGGACACTATACAAAGGTGTCCTGCAAAGACCCTGATGTTGTTTCCCATTCTGCATTCATGCCCCTGGTGGAGAGTGACAACTGCAGTTAGTGAGTCATAGTTACACCTTTTAAGTTCAGTCCTATTTTTCCAATTAGTTTAGCTTTATTGGTTTGTGTTT